CATGATAGAACAAAACATATTGATGTTAAATATCATTTTATAAGAGATATCATTTCTAAAGAGATTCTTAAAATTGGAAAAGTTTCAACTCAGCTTAATCTATCTGATATGGGTACTAAAGTAATTCCTTTGAATAAGTTTTTAAACTGTTTGAAACTGTTATATGTTGAATCTTTGTGATGCATGAACAGGTATTTAGAGCGAATGAAAATTGCTTGAGATTGTGTTCTGGACTACACTATAACCCAAATTCTGGTAGCAAGGTGGAGATTGTGGGAATTGAACCGGGTTCAATTGATGCTTCCATAATTTTGTGAAAACACATTTGGCAAATGCGACTTTATTAAATCACACTTTCAACTGGATTGCGACATATAGATGAATCTTGGCTGTTGGTTTGAATTCTCGATGGTTCTTTTACTATGCCATATTCATTTGGCATTCTCGAGTTTTGCTTTTGGGTTTCATTCCGTTCTCTCTCTGTGAGAGCGCCGCTTCTTAAATTCTTGATTTGAGAAGGCAATTTGTAATATTGTAGCCTCTTTGTGATGATATTCTTAGTGAATATTTGTTAGGAAGTGTTTGGACTTCTGACTTGTTGATTCTGAGGTTCTGAAGCCATTCTTTGTGGTTCGTGTAGATCGATTGCTATATTTTGAGAGAGATAAGTGTTCTGTACTATTTTTTGTCATTGGCTGAACATTATTGTAACCTTTTGTTGCCATTTTGGGTGTTATAGTAGAACCGAGCAAATCCAACTTTTGGATGCTCAACGGGGAATGTAGGTGTTTGAAGTGGTCATCGAACCTCCGGGGCTTAGGCAGAAATATATCTATTGTGTTCTTTTAATTTTCTGCATTTTATTTCAGAGAAGGTTTTGGTATTTTTGTTTCTTGGTCTAATATCGTGTATTCCTGGCCTAACAAGAATTAATTACGTTTTGTCGATGTATTGGTGATGTCTTTTCACTTTTATTTATTTTATTCCAATATTATGTTGGACTAGATTATTTTAGTGTTAAGATTTTCAATGAAACTTGTATCATGAATATTTAACTTGTGATTTTAATTCTTTTTGACGTTAAAAGCACGTTTTTAATCATTGAATAATTGACATATATTTA